AAATTATCGATAAATGTTAGCAGCTTCCTTGAGATGAGAGGCGAAAGAAGAAGATTACTTACCCAGATGGAAATGTTGACTCGACTGCCGTCTACGTTGAGCCTTTTTGTGAGGAAAGAGGCCTGGATAGTAGTCACGTGCCGCTCATTGAACGTGTTCTGGACATACCGCGTCACCAACGAGGTCTTACCCACGCTTCCTTCAAAAGGAGAAGCACACAAGTCGTCAGCTCGATGAAGATGACGATGGCTGGAGGGGGGGGGTAAAGATGACGCGGATGCACGCCTAGGCCTAATCCATTTCTTCTATTCCATACCTTCGCCCAAAAGAACGACTTTGAAGTTGGTTGTGGTCATCTATCAAAATGTCCAAGCTATCAATTCCAATAATGTTCGATGATGTCTTCCTCCTTTGGCTGGCTTGTGAAGATCCCTTCTATTTTTTTTAGAGCGCAATCCTTGTTCGCCTGTGGCCTCTCGTTCCGCGGCAGGCAAGCGACTTTCCTTCAAGGAATGCGTGTCGACACCCAGGAATTCGTCGCAGACAAATCCAAATAATTAAATGTTAATAAATCAATAAATAATAAGGCAAAAATTATTATTATTTATTTGATAGATGTTGTGTGGTCGCTAGTCGATGAGACGGTAGGTGACGGCGAGGTTGGGCCGTGCGGCCTTGAGGGCCTCCACAAAGGGCGCCGTCACGTTCATGACGCTCGTCGCCACCATGGTCTTGCTGCCGCGGCTGCCGCGGCTCGTCGCCAACGACGACGACGTCGTTGGTGTCCCCTTCTCCACCCGCAGCACGCCGGCCCGCACGTCCAGCCGGCACAGCCTCGTGCTCCGCCCCACGAACCCGCCCAGTGACTCATCCGTCACAGCTGCCCGGACGACGTGAGTGTTGTGTTGCGTGTCGTGTCGTGTGTGTGTGTCGTGTCTGTTGTGGTGCGGAGAGGGTACCGGGCATGTCCTCGAGGGCGAGGCTTTCGAGGTGGGGCAGGGCGATGTCCTTGAGGGCGACGCTGTTGAGGAAGCTCAGCGACAGCGAGCGCAGCCGGGGGCAGTGGCGGTCCAGCTCGCGCAAGCCCTCGTCGCTCAACTTGGTGAACTCGACTGTGTGTGTGCGCGTGGTTGTGTGTGTGTCGTGTGTCGTGTCGTGTGTGTCGTGTGTGTCGTGTGTCGTGTGTTAGTGGACGTTCCGGAGGGTTGGTATGAGCATTAAGAAGGTGCCTAATTGGGCGATGGCGCGGATGGTCCTACGTTCGCGTGGATGGCCCGTCCCGGCGCCTCCAGCTCCGCTGATCTCAATTTCCCGCAAGCCGGGCGACGCCTGCGCAGTCGTGTCGTGCGTTAGTGTCGTGTGTGCGTGTGTCGTGTGCGGTGGTGCGTGTGCGGTCGTGTCGCATGGATGAGAATACCCTGATGAGGCTGATGAAGCCATCGTTAGTGAGGCCGCATTGATCGAGCACGAGGCTGCGGAGATGCGCGCCGCCCAGCGTACGGCCGGTCACCTGGGGGAAGTAGTACAGCCGCAATCGCGCCATACGTCGGCACCTCCGCATCTGTTCCGCACCACCGCCCATATCGGTCAATATTGTTTGATTGACGTGCGTGCGGCTGGACGACACGTGACACGCAACACGCAACACGACACGCAACACACGACATGGCGGAGCGTTACCAGAGTGCCTATTCCCCTGTCGGTCACGAGCGGGCAGTTCTTGAGCTTGACGTCGAGCAGAGGGCACATGGCCATCGGCTCCTCCTCCACCACCTCCTCTTCACTTTCCTGCCTGGCGCTCTCATCCTTGGCCGCCACCGCCACCGCTTCCACCGCCGCCGCCGCCTCATCCGCCTCGCCGCCGTTCTCCTGCTCCTCCCGCCTGCTCGCCGCCTCGTCGGCCGCCGCGGCGTTGGTGGTCGACACGTCGACAGCGGACACGCTCGCCTCCTTGTCCTGCTCAGCCTCTTCTGCGACCACCTCGGCGACCACCGGCTCCTCGGATCGGGCTGTGGCGGCGCCCACTTCGCCGGTCTCGGCCTCTGCTTCTTCGGCGGGCTTGTCGAGCCCCGCCGCCGGTCCGCTCTCCTCGCGCTCGGCGTCGGCGCTGTGGTCGGCCGGAGCGCCCACCACCTCGTCGACCGCCGTCGGCATGGTCAGTGGCGGCGACGGCGGCGGTGGTCGGTGCCGGGGGTCGTCCTCGCTCTCCTTGCTCGCCCGCTCGTTGTCGTCGTCCGCCTCCGCGCCGCTCGGCCGGTAGCGGTCCTCGCTCGTCTTTTGGTCCGCCTCCGCGCCGCGCTCGTCGTCGGCCTCCTTGTTCATGTCGTCAATTGCCTCAGCCTTCGCCGTCGCCATCAGCACGTCGCCGCTCTCGACGTGGCTGGGGCGGTGGTCGTCGTGTGGTGGCTGCTGGTGGAGGTGGAGGGAGTCGGGGCGGAAGAGGGCGTCGTCGAGGAGGTTGCCCTCGCCGACGCGCAGCTCGAGGAGACGCGGGGCGTCGAGCAGGCACAGCTGGGACCGGAGCAGGGTGGCCTGGTGCTTGATGCGCACCGAGCGCAGCTCCGGGCACTGCTTCACCATGCTCTCCACACCTGCGCCACATCAGCGACACACACACACACGACACACGCACGACACGCGCATGACCGCACACGCGTGAGTATTCAAGGCCTAGGGCACGTGAAGAGAGAGAGAGAGAGGTAGGACGGCGTACCCTCGTCGGTGAGCTGGGGCGTGCTGCGGAGCTGGAGGTGCCAAAGGCTGCTCGACTTGATCCCTGCGCCCGTCATCCCGCCCACATCGTCCAGTGCTATGGCAGCCGTGGCGCACCACATCGACACACACGACACCGAACGACACACGACCGCACACGACACGCAACGTAAGCCACCGGGAGGCGCGTGGGCTCTGGGATTGGGTTGTACCAGGGCGCGGAGCTGGGTGCACTGAGCGAGGACGGCGGCCACGGTGTGATCGGGGCAGTAGAGCGACGACAGGCGGAGCTCCTTGAGCTTGCCGAACCTCACCGTGGCGCCGGTCAGCGTCTGCGTCTGATCATCTGCCGACATTCCTGCAGCGCGTGTCGTGTCGTGTCGTGTCGTGTGTTGTCGTGTCGTGTGTCGTGTCGTGTGTCGTGTGTCGTGTGTCGTGTGTCGTGTGTCGTGTGTCGTGTCGTTGGTTGTGTGCCTCGAGGGGCTGTGGCACGCGCAGCAAATGCAATGGGTGGTACCGGAGAGTTGGAGGGTGCGCAGGTTGGGGCAGTATTCGGCAAAGTGGTGGAGTGCGGTGTCGGTGACCTGCTCCAGGGAGGCGATGGTGAGCTCCCGCAGGTTGCCCGCCACGGCCTTGGCGATGGCCTCCATGCCCACGTCCGTCACCGTCTCCACCGACCGCAGCTCCACCTTCCTATTTCGTTTTAAAAAAAGAATAATAAATCACAAATTAGTTAAATAATTGATGAGAATAAATAACAACAAATAATTACAATAAAGATAAATCAATAAAAGTGAGGCGGGGACGAACGTGGTTTTGGGGCAAGCGGCGGCGATGCGGATGAAGGACTCGTCGGAGAGCGAGCAGCTGCGCACGGTGACCTCGGTGGCGCTCGGGAAGTGCGCCATCCCACTCACCGCGTCGTCCGTGCAGTACCAGCCCTACACACGCCACACGCCACACACACACACACACACACACGCACGCACGCACACACGACACACGGTGAGTGCGAGCTGGTAGGCTTTGTTGCTGTGCTGCCGGAGGCACAGCGCGGTGCGTGTGTGGTACGTACGTAGAGATCGAGCTTGCGCAGCGATGTGCAGTGTCGGAGGACCAACTTCCAGGCCTCGGGCGACGGCAGAGGCATCTCCAGCAGCCGCAGCTTCGCGCCACACCTGTGATGTTGGCGACAACAATGATTGGAATGACACAACACACGACACGACACACATGACACACGACACACACGACACACACGACACATGGGAAACGGGTGGCGGGGGCGTACAGGCCGACGATCTGGCACACGATCTCTTCGGTGATGGTCTCGGAGTCAAAGTGGAGGACGAGCTCGGTCATGGCCGGGGTGAGGCAGCCCTGGAGGGCCGGCATGAGCTGCCACTCGAACACCGGGTACTTGCTCTCCTCGGCCTTGTCCATCGACTTCATCTCCGACACCGGAATCGGCCTACATTGCTCCCCCCCCCAACATAAGTTGTGTGCGTGTCGTGTCATGTGTCGTGTCGTGTCGTGTCGTGTGTCGTGTCGTGTCGTTAGTCGTGTGGCGCGTGTGGCGTGTGCGGTTGGGGGAGTACTTGAGATAGGGCGAGTGGAGGAGTGCGAGGCGGGTGAGGTGCGAGGCGCTGGCGAGGGCGGCCACGCTCGCCGGGTTAATGCGGTCGCCGTCCAGGGTGAGCGACTGCAGCGACGAACCCCATACTGCAGTGCGAGGTTGGTCACGAGTTGATGACGTCAGCAGACCAATCAACACGAAGAGGGAAAGTGGGTGGGTACGGCGAAGAATGTTCTCGACGCTGGCGCTGGTGAGGCCCGAGCAGTTGCGGAGATTGATGGCGCGGAGGCTCATGGTGGAGAGGCCGCTGATGTCATCGCCGCCGCCCTGGAACAGCGCGACTGCGGGAAGAGACGACAGCGACGAGTTGGACGTGGCGGGCGACAGCGTCGGCGAGGCCGAGGCCGAGGCCGACCCCAACGACGACGACGCGGCGGGCTGCGGCGAGCGGGAGAACAAGCGGTTCCAGAAGCCGGGCGACGACGACGACTGCTGCGCGATCGGTGTCTGCGGCGCGGGCGACGACGCGAACGAATACGAGTTGCTTGTCGACATTGTCGCTGTTGTCGACAATGACGACGACGGCGAGGCCGTGAGCGGGAAGGCCAGCGCGCCGGACGAGGCCGGACTCGACGCCGCCGAGGAGAACGAAGGCGAAGCCGACGCGGCGAAGGAAAAGAGCGAAGAAGCGGAGGTGGCGGCGGTGGTGGTGATGAAGGGGAAGGAGGCGGGGAAGAGCGGGCGGAGGTCGGCGTCGGTGAGCGACGCGGCGTGGGATAGGTCGAGCGCGGTGAGCTGGAAGCAGTGGCTCGACACGGCCGCGAGGGTGCGGCTGGAGAGCGTCGCGCAGCGCGAGAGATCAAGCGACCGCACGTCGGGCAGCACAAACCTGTCGTGTCGTGTCGTGGCGTGTCGTGTCACGCCTGCCCACCAATGCAATGTTGAGTAGGCCAAGGCGTACCAGTCGATTGCTCCCTCCGACAGCCCACTCGCACCGCCCACACGCCTGCGTGTCGTGGCACATAGGTCAGCCACGCACACGCACACGCACACGCACACGCACACGGTACCTGTGGCGGCGGGCGGGGTTGAAGCGGGCCTTGAGGTGGGCAAGCAGGAGCTCGCGCGCGGCCGGGCTGAGGTTGAGCAGTTCGCGGCTGTGGCGCCCGAAGTGGTCGGCCACGGCCTCCACGCAGAGCCGCCGCAGCGACCGCACCACCGATGACGCGTGGCCGCCAGCGTGCCGCCTCTCCACCGGCGTCGTGTCCATCATCATGGCCTCGGCTGCAGCTCCTCCCGATGTCCCTCTTCCCATCTCCATCTCATCTTCATCCAGCGATTGCTCCATGGCGCTCATGAGGTGACCTCCCTTTCACGGTCTTCCAAGAGGGAGATTGATCTTATTAATTGATGAATTAAATTGATTGATAATCAATTTAACCGATCAAGCGCCTGCAGGCGTGCGTTCCTATCAAAAGGATGAATGTGTCGTCTTGGGCTTCTAACGTCCCACCCTCACTCTTCCTTCGTCTCTTGTGTCTCTTCGCCTTCGTGATGTTCTGCGGCGTATCACTCCTTCTCTTTATCCTGCTGTGCGACCAAAGGAAGAGAGGAAGTAAAGGAAAATCAAAAGAAAAGAAAATCAAGACTCTTGTGTTTGACTGTTTATTGGGAAGAACTGAGAGATCAGGAGGAGAGGTGGCGAGGACGTTGGGACGGAGGAGCATGTAGAGGCTCCCCAGCTCTGTGTGGCCTACCAGCACCTCCTCGCCTCCTGATACCACGGACGACGACGATGAAGAAGATGATGATGAAGACGATGAGGTGGTGGGTAGGGTGGTGCACTGGAGGCCGACCCATCGCCCGTCGCCGCGGAAGCCGTCGTAGTGGCCACCACCGTAGATCTTCTCCGGATTCTCCTTCTTCTGAACAACTGCACGTCCCCATGTCCACGCGTGCGATCGTTGTGAGTGGACATGTCCAGACTTATTCGTACTTTATAATTATCTATATAGTAGATTTATTGTTTGGCTGATAATCGAACCAAATAATTATTATTTGGAATAAAAATAATAATATAAATAAATAGTTGCAACGCGAAAAAGGGAGTACCCTTGGCGCCCACATTGCGGCACACCACCTCCGAGTCCACGCCACCGGCGTAGCACACGTCCTCCGCCACGCTCGACAGGTGAACAGACGAGATCTGCTCATGTGACACTTCTATTAAGACACGACACACGACACACCGACACACACGACACACACGACACACACGACACACACGACACACACGACACACGCATGCGCATACCTCGTATTTGGTGAGGTTGGTGGCACGGTTGCGCGGCGTCCACTTGCGGGTGTCGACCAGCGTCACACTGCGACCAGCTCCGCCCACTGCGATCGCACCGGCGTTCTTGCCCTCGCCGATTGCCAGTCCGTGCAATGGCCCTCCCGCCACCTTGTGTGTGCGTGTGTGCGTGTGCGTGTGCGGTGGTGCGTGCGTGCGTACGGTGAGATGAATGCGGAGGCGTGTGTCGCGTGTGCGGTGTCGCGTGTGTGCGTGTCAGCGCAATGTCGAAAAAGAAAGAAAAGAAGAAAAAGATGGTCGGCGTACGGTGATGCGTTTGGCGCAGCCGTTCTTCTCGGACGATCGGAGGTCCCACAGAGCCAAGTCGTTACCTTCGGCCACGGCCACCAGGTTCGGTTGACCCCGCACGAACGCCGCCTGTTGTCCAACATAACACAACAACCCGCGCCGCACGACACGACACGACACGACCAACGACACGACAATGAGGCAAGCGTTGGTTACACATTCGGGGCCTTGGGACGCAAAACAGAGCGCTTAGCGGTTGGTGGTGGTGGTGGTGCGAATACCTGCGTGGGGCATCCGAGGGTGTGGACCTGACGCACGCACCGATCCTCCTCGAACCACTCCAGACTCTTTCCGAAGTAGTTCACCCGCACCAGCTGCTCTCCGCGGCCCGATCACCCACAGACGACCGACCATGGGTAGAGAAGAATGTGAGGAATGCAGAAAATGTAGAGGTGGGCTGGGTGGAGTGGACGCGTACGGCAGTGGGTCCCGAGGAGGTGGAGGGGTTGAAGGCGAGGCCGGACCAGCCCCACTCCACGACGGGCGAGGCCGGCGGCAGGTACATGGCCTGCGACGGCGCCAGCACCTCCGACGTCGACCCCTACGATTTGTAGAATGAGACGGTCAGGGCCTGAGTGCACCGGGCAAAGATGGGCGAGAGAGTAAGTAGCGCGATGGTGGGTAGTAGTACCTCGCCGGTGTGAGAGGCCAGGGTGGAGAGGGAGAATCGGGAGACGATGGCTGCACCGCGGCCATCGGTGGAGCCCAGCAAACCCTCTGCATAAAGGAATGGAAAAAACAATAAATAAATAATAAACGAATAAACAAATATATTCAAGTAGTAGCGAGTCAAAAAAGACAAGACGGGAAGAGAGCGAGAAGGTACCTCCTCCGCTGGTGTGGATGAAGGCGAGGTGCTGAATCTCGGCCCGGTGGCTGTGCTGCACCACCACAGGCTTCTCCGACACCGGCCCGAACCCCTCGGGTTTGGGCACGCCTGTGTCATAAACAAATAATAATAAATAAATAAAACAATCACATCTTCCGAATTGATCAAAATCAATTTCGAGAGGAGGGAGAGTACCAGAAGCGGTGGGGGGAGGTGGAGCGAGGGGAGCGGTGGCGACCACGTGCCGCACTTCGTTGCGCGTGGCAAGGAAGGCGGCCACCCGCACGCCCGGGTTCATCTCGTCATCCTCAACGGACTCTGCTGAGGTGAGGGCCAGGCGCGAGCCGAACAGTTGGGAAGCCGACGCGCTGGGCGGAGCACCGGCCCGCCCATGCCACGCTCGCGCTTGCCGAGCCTTCCCTTGTGCCTCCATCTCTCCGCAACACGGAAAACAAAAACACAAAAAAAGCACAAAAGACAACAAATAAATAAGTGGTGGATGGTGTTGGCGTCTTCTTGGCTAGGGGAGGTAAACGCTCGCAGCACCAGACTAAGGCTAATTATTTATTGTTTGTTGTTTGTTTTTGACCGCTGAACGCGGTGGTGGACTTGTTGTGGTAGAACGTGTGCGGCTGATGGTGCGCCCTCTAGTTGCCGCGAGGCCTGGCGTCCCTGCTGGGGGGACTTTCCCTACGCATGGGCGGGCCTCTCTCGTCGCGGGCACCGGGCCTGCGCCAGGCGTCACCGCCACCGCCGGCCTCACGATCGCGGCCGTAGTCGCCGCCGCGCGGGCCGCCGCGCTCCTCGCCACGGCCTCGCCACTCGTCTCGTCCACCCTCACCACCGCGCGAAGGGCCGCGGCCGTAATCGCCGCCGCGCGGACCGCGGTCGTCACCACCGCGCCTGTCGTCATCGTAGTCCCTGCGAGGGGGACCACCGGCGCCACCGCGCGGACCCCAGTCGTCGTCGCGCCTGGCGGGCGGCCTGCGATCGTCATCGTCACGGCGGACGGGCGGCCTGCGGTCGTCGTCGCGTCGACCCCAGCCGCCACCGCGCTCCTCCTCGTCGCGCCTGACGGGCGGCCTGCGGTCGTCGTCGTCACGGCGGCCAACACCGCGCTGGCCGGGGGGCACGTAGGCGCCGGGTTCGCCGCCGCGGCGGTACTCGTCGTCGCGCCTGACAGGCGGCCTGCGGTCGTCGTCGCGGCGGACAGGGGCGCCCGCGCCCGGGCGACGCCAGCCACCGCCCTCGTCATCGCGACGCTTCTCCTCGTCACGGCGCCTGTCGTCTTCGACGCGGCGCTCGTCCTCCTCGCGACGGTGGGCCTCCTCGCGACGGGACGCTCCTCCTCGCGCTCGCGGCGCTCCTCCTCGAGCTTGCGCTCCTCTTCGGCGGCCTCCTCGGCGCGGCGCCTGTTCTCCTCCTCGATCTTCCGGCGCTTCTCCTCCTCCTCGCGGCGCAGGCGCTCCTTCTCCTCGGCCTTGCGCTTTCGCTCCTCCATCTCCTTCCGGCGCTGCTCCCTCTCCTTCTCAAGCTGCGCGCGGATGCCGACGAGGCGCTCGTCCTGGGCGGCCTTGAGGCGGTTGAACTCCTCGGTGCGGCGCTTGAGGATGCGCTCCTCGAAGGAGGCGCGGTCGGGGTTCATGCGGATGAGCCTTCGCTTCTCCTCGACCTCCTTGGCGTGGACCTTCTCCTGGGACTCCCTGTAGGAGGCGACCTGGACCTCGTAGGCGGTCTTCTCCTCCTGCTGGAGGGCGTTGTAGAACTGCTCGAGCAGCGGCCGCTCCTCCTCGCGCATGGCGCGCACGCTGTGGTCGAGCTTCTTGGCGAGATTGAGAAGCTTGGTCTCGGCGTCCTTCTTGGCGCGCTTGAGCTCCTCCTTCTTCCGCTCGAGCACCTGCTTGGCGTCGACCTCCTCCTGGTCGACCTTCTGCAGCAGCTCCTCGGTGATGGTGACCGAGTCCTTGGCGATCTTGCTGAGGCTCTCAAGCTCGCGCTTGATGCGGTTCCTCTCCATCTCCTCCTCCTTCTTCTTGCGCTCCTCCTCGGCCTTCTTCTTGAGCACCTCGGCGCGCGCGGCGGCCTCCACGGCACGACGCTCCTCCTCGGCCTTGCGGGCCACAGCGGCAGCGGCAGCCGCGCGCAGGTTGGCCATCTGCTCCCGGATCTCCTTCCTGCGCTCGATGATGCGGCGCCTCTCGAGGATGCGGGTGTGCTCCTCGCCGATGCTCTTCAGCGTCGCAGCGAAGAGCTCCTTCTTCTTCTCGGCACGCTCGGCCTCACGGGTGGGGTGGATGAGGTTGGCGACATGGGCCAGAGAGCGGGAGAGCGACCTGAGCTGGCCGCGGAGGGCGTCGGGACCGGCGGGGTCGGACGTGAAGTTGAGGGTCTTGTTCTGGTGATCGATCTTGGCGCGAACGTAGCCGGCGCGCACGGCCTCGACCACGCGCCTCTCCACCACGCGGGCGTCCATGAAGTAGGCCAGCTGGGCGACGTGCTCGATCTTGATGGTGCCGTAGGCCCGGGCGATCTGCTGGAGCAGCCTGATGAAGATGTTCTGCTGCAGGGGCGCGACGTAGTGCTTGAGGCCGGGCTGGGCGGCGATGAAGTCGAGCTTGGCCTTGAGGTTCTCGACGTAGGTGAGCGGCTGGAAGCGCTTCTCGGCGAGGTTGTAGATGTCCTCGAGCTCGGCGACCACCGAGGTGGTGATGCCACGGATGTTGAGCTCCGAGAGGAGGTTCTCGCGGCTGGGCGCGGTGCCCGGACCCAGGAGGCTGGCCAGGCGGGTGACCTTCTCCCTGTGGCTGCTGTCGAGCTCGGCGCCGCCCAGCTCCTCGCTCACCTCACCGGTCTCCATGGGAATGCACAGAGCGGCCACCACCACGGTCGAAGCCATCCTGATGTCATGAAGAAGACAGGGAAATGATGATCAGCATCTTCTTGCGAGAACTAGTAACTATCGCGTTGATGAGGAAGATGTGTTCAGAAAGAAGCGGGGAGCCGGTCATGACGTACTGCTTGAGGTCTTCGGCGGAGAGGGCCTTGTTCTGGTTCTTGGAGAGCGTGTAGTACTTGTACCACGCGTAGGCGTGGAGGGTGTAGTTCTCAGAGACGAGGAAGACGCGGGCCAGCTTGTCGTAGTAGTTGGCCAGCAGCTGGGGCTTCGGGGGCTTCTTGGCCATCGACATGAGGGCGTGGAGGTCCTCAATGGAGCGGAAGGCCTCCTGCCACAGCTCGAGCTCGCAGGCGACGTTGAGCTGCGAAAAGCGGGTCTCCAGGTGGAAGGCCAGGCTCTCGGGGCTGGTGAGCGAGACGGCGTTGGTCATCTGCGTGCTCTTGGAGAGGTTGCTGACATGACCGCGCAGGATCTCGCTCAGGCGCCTGAATTCGGTGTTACGCTTGTACTTCTTGCAGAAGTCGAACGCCTGCTGGGCTGTGTACTGCAGATTGTTGGAAGAAGTAGAATCAATCGATCCATTCAGAATGACGATGATGGCGCAAATTTCGGCGTAGAATTAAATTATGTGGAGAGGGCAGGTGCGTACGTGGTAGAGGGTCTCGAGCTTGGCATTGTTGCGGAGGATGTCCAGCACGGTACGGTAGGTCTCCCACAGGAACTTGAGCCAGGGGGTGACGATCTGTCGGTCCGTGCGGTCCTTGGTGTCCTCTCCGCTCACCTTGCCGAGCATAAGGCTCTCGGGTGCCTCCTCGGCGTCGAGATCCTCAATGTCGAGGGTGATCTTCTCGGCCTTGCTCTGGGCCTCCTTGGCGTGCTGTTCGGCCTGCTCAAGGAAATGCTTGATCACGTGGCCGAGCGAAGCAACATTGACCTACAAATTCGAGATTAGAATCCTCGTGCACGAGGATGAACATGAAGTTTAAAGCAAAATAGCATACCTGCTGGCAGATGCCGCGATACTGGTGAAGGCCATCCTTGGCCTCCTTGCCCTTCCTGAGCTGAACGCACAGTGTGATGTAGAGGACCTGATCGCAGCAAGCAATAATTTGTTAGTGTCAAAAATGGCAGTGCATGTTGACTCGAATCGCCGTACCATCAGGTCCTCGAGGGACTTCTGCCAGGTGCGGTGACGCCTGGAAGTGATGACAGTGCGGAGCTGCTTGAGGGCCTCATCTCTTTGGTTGGGCGAGACGGCAAGCAGTTCTGAATGGTGAATATGATGAGATGAATCAGAAAATGGGGCGGAGTCCGCAATCCATGCCTCGTAATTTTGGGCGGGATCGGAAGACGAGATGAATCTATGCTTACCCTGCGCTCGTTGAAGAGCGTTCTCAGGCTTTGCGAAGGACATGGATGATGTGCTGATGCGGAAAAAAGCACAGCCCTTCTTGTTGATCAGCGCAGCAAAGCCAGAAAACCCAACGGTGAGAATTACCCAAGAAAAGAAACCACAAAACCCCAATTTATCCTCCTTTTTCACAATAAAAAAAAAAAAGAGAACAGAGCGTGTTGGGTGCGACAGGCACTTGGCCACTTCACCAGCCATGTTTTTGGCGGGATTGTACAGGTCATCATCAACCAGAGCCTAGAAGGGTGCCAGTGCGTCCCTGGCCAGTTCCATGGCCTCCAGCTCATCTTCGGTCGGGTTGCGCGTTGTCACGTACGAATGCGATGGGCGAGCCTGCCTGCGGATGGCGTCCTTGGCCGCCTGTACACATCAAAGCGCGATGATGAGCACCACAGTGTCGTGTGTGTGCGCGTGTGGTCGTGTGTGTCGTGTGTGTGTGTGTGTGTGTGTGTGTGTGTGTGTGGTCGTGTGTGTTGCCCACCTGCGATTTGATCTTGTCGAGGACGATCTTCGCCTGGATCTCGTTGTAGCGCACGCTTTCGTCGTCCCACACGAAGAAGTAGGTGGCGCTGTGCTGCTGGTCCTTCCTGAACGAGTACTCGCGCACCCACTCGTACTCCGCCGTCTTCCCGTCGACCTCTTCCACCGCCGCCCCCTCGTCGTCTTCGTCGCCCACCTTCTTCTTTCCCTTACCCTCGTCGTCGTTCCCGTCGTTCTTCGGCACCAGGTACGCCACGAAGCTCTGCTTGGCCAGCCCGACCTCGGCTTCAGCCTCCGTCGAGAAACCCTGCAGCAGCGCAAACGGCCGAACGTTAAAACAGGAATATATACAATTAATTCAAAAACTAAAACAATAACTTAAATAAAATTGAAAAACAAAAACAAAAGAGGAAAACGTTGGCGGTACCTTGAGGAGCGCTTGCTTCTGGGCGCGCGGGCGGCCAGGGTCGGCGTCGAATGTGACGAGTGTGTAGCTGTTGGCCCAGAGGTCGTGGTCCGGGAACACGGGCAAGATCTGGGGCGGAAGGAACGTGTACGCACGCAAGATTAGTTGGAGCGCGGGACACACACGAATACGCCACACACACACACACACACACACACACACACATGCAGACAGTACCTCGAGCGGCTTGAGCGACGGGTCTGTGGGGTGGACGGGGATCTCCTTGGCGGCCTCGAACCCCTGGTCGATGGCGTCCACGACCTCCTCGCGCGTGCGCTTCCTCTTGTCCTTCTCGGCCCGCTTGAGCGTGGCGTGGCCCACCCTACGAAGAAAGCGCAGCGCCTTGGGTCAGACGCTGAGCCGCCAGACGTGCGTGCAGCGAAGTGTGGCGTGTTGGTGGGTCGGGTGGTGGTACCGGGCTTCGATACTGTCAGCGCGCGAGACCTTCTTGGTGCTCTGTTCGTAGTCGGAGATGTACTCGGTGTGGCGCCGCAGCCACGACACGCTCGTGCTGGGCTTCTCGCGCACGTTGGCTTTCTTCTTCTTCACCTCGGGCGTCTCCGCGGCGCCGACCTGGATCAGCACCGCGTCTTCGGGCGGAAGAGCCGCTCCTGTCGTTGCACCACCCTTAGCACACGACACACGACACGACACGACACGACAGCAGATGAAGAAAAGAAGAGGAGCCGGACCAGGGGTGGCCTTGTAGGTGGAGGGGTCGATGAGGTCGATGGGGATGCCGAGGTCGGGCTCGGCGTGGAGGGTGTGCTGGTGGGAGGTCTCGAGGGAGGTCGTGCGGTATCGCACGAACCGCATGGAGTCGAACGGATTCGTGAGCAGCTTCGGGTCAAACGGGATGGGCGGCAGAGTGTTGGAAAACTTCATCTTGCACAGAAACTGTGGGGCAGTTGATGATGATGGGAAATGGGGATGAAATGAGCAAAGTAGCGATTACAGACAGTGCCAAAAATGAGGATGGAGGGTGCACCTCTGATTCCCGACTGGAGGTTGAAGAGTGAGGGGGGGGGGATAACACGATTAGGCAAGCGAGTGCATTGTGGATTTGAATGGAGTGACGTTGATTACCTGAGGTGATTTGGTTTGCGCGGCGAGGGTTTGGCCCTTCCATTTGCAGCCAAAGCGGATGAAGATGAAGACGACGATGACGCGCCTCCTTCCGATCTCGCGCGCTTTCGAGCGTGCGCCTCTGCCGCCTGCTTCCTCTTCCTGTCCTCCTCCATCTTGTTCAGCACAAAAGAAAACAAAATAATAATGAATGTTATATAAATGATAAATATAAATGTAAAAAATCGGTTTTTTTTTGATTTCTTGCCTTTCTCCATGCTGGCGTCGACCGACGCGGTGTAGGCGGGCCACGCAAGAGGGGCGCAAAGCCCTAAAGTTTTAATTGTTGCCTTTTACACGCCGTGGGAGTAGCCGAGGCGATCCCAGAAGTCGCAGTAGGAGGCGCGCAGGCCGGTCTGGACGGTGGGCGGGGTGGCCAACTCCATGCTGGCGTCGGCCGACGCGGTGTAGGCGGGCCACGCCGGCTGCACCGGCAACGGGTGGTTCGGGTTTCCGCTCTTGGCGAAGTTGGTCCAGTACGTGCTCATCCGCCTTCAACAAACACAAACACGACACACGACACACATTTGATCGTTGTGTTAACTCATCGTCGCCATCATCACTGGCTTCGTTCACATCATTGACGATCGTACTTGGAAAGATCGTCTTCGGCGGCGGTGAAGTTGTAAAACGGGGCGGCGGCGTGGAACACGAAGGGCAGCTCAATGCCGTGACAAACTGTAGTGTGTGTGGGCCAGTGGTGAGTGACTATTCCCCCCCCCCCAAGAGCGACGAAGCAGGAAAAGAGCGAAAGCGAAAGAGATCTCAGCTGTACCGTGACCGTCGCAGAAAGTGTACTTGCCCCACGCGTCGAACGAAGGGACGTGGTTGAATTGGTAAAGGAACGTGGGAACTCCTGTCGAGCGTGAGCGTGTGCGTGTGCGTGTGCGTCGTGTTAGCCGACCGAGCTGACAACGACGATGGCGGCGCGTGGATGAACGACGTACCGGTCTTGGCAACGCCGCGGGCCGAGAGGCGAGTCGGGCAGACGAAGATGTAGTCGGTGCCCTGCGTGGAGAGGAGCGGGCGGTAGTCGGAGTCGTCCCAGATGCCGCCCACCGGGTACTTGCGCAGGACCTCGACCACGTCCAGCTGGAACAGGTAGGACTCGAGGAGCACGTAGAGACTCTCCGACACCTTGGTGCCGTTGGACGCCTCGTAGATGAAGAACAGCGCCTCCTCGGCCACAGTGCCCATCATGATCGGAACTGTGTGACGCGTGTTAGAACCTTCGTGGCGCTAGCATGTGCGGTGTTGCGCGTGCGCACACCTTTGGTGAAGTTGCCAGCGGTGAACAGCTTCCAGGGCTGGTCGGTCAGCTCCTTGCCATCGACTGACGACGTTGTAGAGATCAGACTCATGGGCTCATGCACTGCTGGTCGGAAGAGGGAGGGCAGGCGACGTACCGATGGGCGTCCAGGGCAAGAAGAGGAGGAGCGGGTGGAAGTAGTCGATGCTGCCCTGCACGCCGTACTGGCCGGCCATCACCTCATTCACGCTCTTGCTCCTCAGGCACGCGTCCTGGACCCATCAATTTTTTTCCGATCAGCTGACCACCCGCAATCACAACAAACTTGCCTTAATTCTTGGAAGGGGGGGCACCGTGGTCTCGTGGTTCCAGGGGCAGTGCAGGTATTCGACGAACTTACGGCCCAGATCGCGTCCCTAGTAATATATATAAATATATATGTTAACATAAAAAGACATGTCAATAAAATCGCCCAATCAGAATGGTGTGTGGGGCGCACCTCCTGGACGGTCTTCATGGGGAGGGCGAATGGGTTGGACTCCATGATGGCCTTGGAGAAGAGGCCCCGGCTGTAGGGCGACAGCAGGTGGACGGCCGTCGACGACGCGCCCGCGCTCTGGCCGAAGATCGTCACCTGATTGATTGATTGATTGATGGTGGTTGGGGGCGCATGTGAGTTTCAGGCGTCGGCTGAGGAGTGGGTGGAGATCAGATGGGCGCACGTCGTTGGGGTTGCCACCGAAGGCGGCGATGTTCTTCTTGAGCCACACGAGGGCCATGCGCTGGTCCTTGATGGCAAAGTTGCCCGCGTACTCGTCCGTCACGAGATGGCCGAGCACCTACACAGGTAGTACAGTAGTGGAGTGGTTGTACATAAGCTGGTGACAACACAACACAAGCAATGGCACAGCTGCGGGAGAGCTGTGTGGTGGTGGGTGGAGGGTGGTCGTACGCCGAGGCGGTAGTTGGTGGTGACGAGGATCACGTCCAGGTTGGTCGTGAAGTACTCGCCCGAGTACAGAGGCGAAGTGCTGTCGCCCTACACGCGAGTGGCGAGAGATATATAAACCATGTTAAATATACATAAATGGTTTGAGGAATGTTGGCAATGCAACAGCAGGGTGGGGGGTGGTGGGCGTTTGTAAGTGCACCTGTTCGAAGCGGCCGCCGGGCATGAAGAACATGACGGAGCGGGGTGACGAGGAGGCACCACGCGGGGTCCAGATGTTGAGCGTGAGGCAGTCCTCGCTCTCACTCTGGGGGCACATGTGGGGCGGCAGCACGCAACGCTGCGGACATCCCGGGCCGAACTCTGTACCGAGTCGTGGGAGAGGGCGAACACCAACGAAGGTAAGGGAAGCGGCCCAAGGAAGCGGCGGAAAGCTCGACCAATCGTAGCATAGCCTGCCCGATAAAATTTTGGCCAATAGCTATGAGGGGGCGCCTGTACCAGTGGCGTTGAGAGTGCTGGGTGCCCAGCCGCGGTGCGGGAGGGGATCGCGCCAGCGTAGCGGACCCACGGGTGGCTCTGCGTAGGGGATGCCCTGGAAGAGAGCGGCATCGTATGGCATTGTGGTTAGGAGTTAAACAAATTTAATTCCGACGAAGAGGGCGCGTACCTTGAAGACGCGGTAGGTGGAGGCGACGATGCCGCGCACCGGGCCGTTGGAGGTGTTGACTACAGAGTCATCGGCATGCACAACTGCTGCCAGCAGCAGTACACCGAGTACGGCAAGCAGAGCGTACCCACGCGTGGTTCTTGTCATCTTCTTTTTGTCAATTTTGACCTCTTTTCCTCCCTGCCAATAGCTGCAAATGAAGAGAAGAACTTTCTTTCCCCTATTCCAGCAGCATTGACTACATTGGCCAAGGTGAGAGTCATCTTGCTCCTGGTGTTCCCTGTGCTGTACAGTAGGCCTGCTGGTGTGTTGGTTTGCCAGCTGACTATTCTCAGCACCTCCAGTAGGAAAACCATTGCTGTTGTGGCTATGGTTGGGGCTTACAAGAGAAGAAGCTAGAAGTGGGAGTTTGGTCCCCTTAATGGACAGGAAAACGAGCAGAAAAAGGCACAAAATAGTGAAAAAACTAGCCTGATGTGTGTCAGATCAAAGTCATGTACAAAAACCTGCAAAAATGGTGTCAAAACAGAAAACATCAAAAGTGTGTGGACTTTTTTGAACAACCATCAGTATTAAAAACCACCAATTTCTTTTTACACACCCAGGTGTTATTCTGTATGTTAGAATGAATGCACATGCAGGAACTGGTAGGCTGTACAGATTGTTGACCATAATGGCCTGTTTTCCTGATCTCCTGATAATTCTCATTTTTGGCCTTATGAAAAAGGTATTGTATACTGTTTTCTGGCTAGGACAATCAGGAAAACAGGCCATTTTGGTCAACAATCTGCAGGAGGGCATTGTGATACATGCTGTTGTTGGTCTTCTTAAGGTCCCCTAGGCCAGGTGGAACTCCTTCTTCAGCCCATTCATGAGCACAGTGTGGGACCCCACCACATTGTAGTATGCTGTGGCGCCTTTTCGCCTCCTGGTAATGTTAATGCTCTTGAAATATGTGAGAGCCTCCAGGCAGGCTTGTTAGGTATGGTGCCAACCTCTATGATTCCATCAAGTGCTTGCATCTCTCTTCGCATGTTTTTCTCTAAGTGAGGTCCTTGGTACAAAATTGTTTTCCCTCCTTTTCTTTTTTCTTTGTTTTTAAATCCAATCACAATGCAGCGACGACCAATCTTGATGGGACTTGCGCCCTTCGCCTTCGCCCGGTCGACCAGCCCGTCATCGACAGCCCTCATCTCCAGCACGACACCTGTGCTTACCCAATCGGTACATCTTACATCACGCCGGCGCTTTTCTCAATCAATTCGTTAATCGTCTTCTTTGGCAGCGCTTCGTTTCGATCATAAAGTCCGCCGCCAAGAAGCGTTTCCGCGTCACCGGACCCTTCGGTATGCTTCCACTCCCCCCCCCCCGGGCCAGCAATCACACTCATTCTTTACGTTCTCTGCAAACCACCAGCCAAGCGCAAGGTCGTGTGGCACCCACGGAAGCTCGGGTACCTGTCACCCACCAAACCTCGAGTGCTGGCGTTGGCTCTAACCTGTGAGTTGTGTTGCGTTGCGTGCGGTGCGCAGGGGCAAGAGCAAGACTGTGGGTCCCGAGCGGGTGCACTTTACCAAGCTCTTCCCTCTTTCCGGCCTGTAAGGCGGAAGACTTCTACAATAAAGAAGGGCAATGGGACTGCACAACTCGCAAGGGAGAAGAAGTGGAATGGAAGTCGTGATCTCCTTCATGTTGCCGAAAGTGCGAAAGGCCAACGCAGCTCGTTGAGACATGAGTGAATGAGCCAGACCACGAACACACGATCCCAAAGGCGGAGTGGAGACACTCGAACGTGGCGAAGGACGACAACACACGCTTAGAGCTTCTCGTACACCCACTTGGCGTTCTCGGACTCCCAGTTGGCGAGCTCGCCCTCCTTGAACCTGTGAGAGGAGCGTGTGTGAGCCGAGAGGCCTGCAAGGGGGACAGGGGCGGTGAAGTGATGTGGCGGTGGTACCAGAGGGAGATCTCGTCCTTGGCGCTCTCGGGGCCGTCGGAGCCGTGGATGATGTTGCGGCCAATGTCAATGCAAAGGTCACCCCTGACGGAGCCAGCCTCGGCATCAGCGGGGTTGGTGGCACCAACGATCTTGCGGCCGTTGACGATGGCGTTCCTGCCCTCGAACACCATGGCGACGACGGGGCCAGACGAGAAGTAGTTCACCAGGCTGGGGAAGAAAGGCTTCTTCGAGAGATCAGCGTAGTGCTGCTCGGCGAACTGCTTGGTGGGCTTGACGACCTGCGTGGAGCAAGCAAGTGAAGAGGCGAATCAGAATCTTGTGCAGGTTCAGCAGAACGTCGAGTTTGGGGGCTTTGATTCCTACCTTGAGGCCAACGAGCTTGTAGCCCTTCTTCTCGAAGCGCTGGATGATCTCACCCACGATGCCACGCTGGACACCATCGGGCTTGATGGCGATGAAGGTCCTCTCGAACCTGGTGCCGGGAAGACCAGTGTGGGGCACCTTGTCGTCAGCCTTGACCGAGGCGAAGCCTGCGAGTAGAGACATGTAAATAATCGTCCAATCTCTGGAAAATTTGAAGACCCAAATAGTGCCCAACAAGATGTCGCGTACTGTAGTAGCTGGCACCAGCGAAGGCGGCGGCACCGATGAGCTGTGGATTGGAACAATGAGTGCCGCCAGGGTGGATGTGGTTGCTCAAGATTCTGGAGGTGCGCGTACCATGGCGCCAGTCCTGGCAGAGCTGGAAGTGGCCTGGGCAGTGCCCGACACGAAGGTCCTGGTGGCGACTGGTAGCGTAATTACAGAAAGGTCAGCAGAAACACAAACATCTTTCTGGTGGCACTCGACTCGGTGCGTGATTCAATCCCTCAGAATTAAAGAGCAGCATTTTGGAATCAAGTAGATCATGAATCAATATGAAGAAGGGCCAGTGTAGGCGCACGTACCCTGGGAGAGCTGAAGGCGCGAAGCCGAACGGGCAGCGGGCCTGGCGACGGTGGCGGTTCTGGCGGCTGTTGCGCGCAAGAGATAAGAGGGTCAGATGAGCCAACCATTCTCTCCTCGCACACAGATTAACGTACAGATGGAGGTAGCGCGGCGCATCGTGTTGGTAGTCTTTGGGTGGGGGACAAGAATCAAGAAGATGAGCCCTTTGGGCGCTTTGGCCGCTGCGCCGCCCAGTAAAAGCCGGGCATTCAGGCACGGCACGCCCACGAACGGCGCACAGCTGGCCCGGGTCCTTACACCGATTACGACGACTTCTGAGCTGGTGCAGGAGGCGCGCTGATTCCTTCAACCAAGGTAAGAAGGTAACGGGATGGTAATGGTTCTATTTATTCGTCTGACGCTGCTGCTGGCGGCGGTTCCACACTCAGCGGGCCTGCACGCGCACCTTGAGGGGAACGTCGATGTCTTCGAGCTTCACCGGCACGGAGAAGGTGCCCAGCTGCGAGATCGGGGCTTCGAGGTCGAGCTGGTCCTTGGCCAGCTGAATCTTGTGCTGCAGCCACAGCTTTTCCACGATGTTGTCCGCCGTCACGGGGGCATGGAGTATCTGGCCAGCGTTCGTACGCATCCGTGATCAGCGTCCCGCTCAACGACAGAGCATGCACGTCGCACAGGCCACGACAACAGAACACCAACATCAACACCAGCACACGCACGCCGATAAAGTACCTGTTCGGGTTGGACTTGGATGATCTGACGCTTCATGAGCACCTCGACCTTGGACAACCGCTTCTTGGCCTTGGCCAGCTCCTGCAGCTTCTGTCGCTTCTCATAGTCGATGTTCTGTGGCGCGTGCGCGTGCGGTGAGACGCGTGCCAACGGGCAGCAGCGGCTGCAGCAAGGGCGAATGGGGTGGCGCACCGCTCTATCGGCTTCGTAGAGCTTGAGGTTCTCCTCGGTGCAGTACACGGCAAGCTTCTGAGGGAAAAGGTAGTTGCGGGCGAAGCCCTTAGCCACCTCGACGTCCTCGCCCTTGACGCCCACGCTGGGCACGTCGCTGGTGAGCACGATCTTGATCTTCTTGTTCTTGACGGGCTTGTTCGACTTCTGCGGACCCGACGCCTTGGACTTTGGCTTGGCCTTGGCCGGTGCAGCAGTCTTCTTTGTGGCATAACCCCTGCTGCTAACCAACGCCGTCCAATCGTGCTGTGTAGTGGCCAAACAAAGAATGATGAGCACATGATTGAAATAAGCAAATGACGGATGATTTGCAGATGATTACGAGTCCCGACCTGGGGCAAAATGCTGCTGGTGCGGAAGAGGCTGCCAGCGCGGAGGGGGGCGTAGGAGGAGAGGGCAAGGGGGGAGACTCCGCCCACTCGGAAAACGATGATCTGAACAAAGAGAAGGATTAGAAGGAGGAGGAAAGTCGGATCCATCGGCAATCAGGAACGGACCTCATTGTCTGGCAATTAGTGACTTGGCAATGTCGCCGGAGCCTTTTTTGATTATGGTTTCCTTGATTTCTTTTGCTTTTTTTGTTTTTTTATTTGATTTAATATTTTCGATGCTGCAGACATGTTGGCTGCACCAAGCAAGAGCCAAGCTAAGTGATCCTGACATAAACAACATCTGAATGCAAGTTGTCAAAATAAAAAATGGCTGTAATTTTTGGGAATTAAATCGTCTCTACAACATCACAGGGCCATTTTCTCCTTCGCGATCGTTCGATTGCGCCCCCCGCAGCGAGGTTCTGTCCCGTTCGATCACGCGCCATCTTCGTACATCGCGATCTTCGTCTAGTCGATGTCCTCGTTGGCGTAGAACTTGCGCAAGAAGTCGGATTCCTCCTTCTTCTTGGGGGCGAAGTAGTGGAGGATGTGGGGGCGCTGCTTCCACGTCAGCAGGGTCTCGTCGAGTTCCGATTTTCCCTTGAACCAGAGCATGTCCATCGTCACGGGGTCCCTCACGTTCTGGTGCTTTCTAAATTCCTCGGCGATCCGCGAGCGCACCTGGCCCACGTTGTAGGGCAGATCGTACATCTGAATGATGCGAGGGGCCGCTCGCATGGCGGAGCGGTAGAGGTGCTGGTTCCTCGCCGCAGCGTCAGCGAAGCTCCTCGAAGCCGTGGTGGCCACACCAGATGTCGCCATTCTCTTGGGTGAATGTTCGATTTCTTGTTGCCCTTTCTTTTGCCTGTTTTTTGGCTTTTTCAACTGAAGTATTCGTGGTATGTCTCAAAATACCAATAAATTCCAAGCCTGGGCGAACAGGGAGGGAAAGAGAAAAGTTGTGTGTATTTACACTCTTCATTATGAAAGCAATGCTCCAAGCACAAGGCCAGCTCTCTGGCCATCACTCCCCCATTCGCTCCTCTGTTTGCTTTGTTTACAGTCGGTAGGGGTCGTTGCCCAGGGCGTCCTGCCAGAGTCCGTTGAAGTGCTCGTGGATGGCGTCGGTCACCTGTGACGTCTTCTTGGCGGCGATCTTGACCATCACGCCCACCATGTCGCCGGACGAGGCGTGGCCTGATGATGACGAAGAAGCAGCGTCGAGTGGCTTCCTGT